GCAGCCCGGGGCCAGCTCTCCCCGGCGGGCAGCGCAGGTGGGCGCCGCCCGGGGGATGCGGGGCGAGCCCGGCCCCGGCCATGAGGGTCTCGCTGGGCCGGGTTGTGACGCTGCTCTTCCTGAGCGCCGCCTGCTCGCTCACCTGGTACGCCTCCCGCACCGGCACCGGCACCCGAGGTGAGGCAGCTGCGGGGCGGGGGGCAACGGGCACGGCCAACGGCCGGCCGGGGGCAGTCGGGGGTGGGGGCAGGGGTCGGCCCCGGGGCCGGCCAGGCGGGACCCGCCTAGCCAAGGAGCTCCCGCCTGCAAGGGGGACACCACCCGCATGCAGCCGCGCACACACGCACGTACACATGATGTCCCCTCACATACACATGCGCCTGCACACACACGTACCCTCACACACACGTGCACATGCACCCGGACACGCACCCACACAGACACACAATCGTAGACATGCATCTACAGCTGTGCACACGCAGGCAGACGCGGTTCTGTGATGCTTTTTATTAGACCGCCTAAGTATGTCCTTAGACCAGCACAGTGACAACCAACAACCTGTACATACACACACACTTGTTAGTCTGGAAGGTGCAAATTGCCCTGCCAGCTCAGCTGCTGGTGGGGTGGCCAGCCTGCGGCTCTTCAGAAGTTAATGCTTTTCTCCTTGCATTCACCTTCTGTTTGGAAGCTAGTCACCATGTGCTTGTGCAAAGATTCAAGGAGACAATGCGAATTAACTTCTAAAGAGCCACATGTGGCTCTAGAGCCTCAGGTTGGCCACACAGCTGCCTACATGTCTCTTGTGTAGAGTTGTGGTTCTCAACCTTTTTGGTACCAGGACCCATTTGTAGGGACTGGCCGGGTCTGTTTACCCAGTGCCCGTCAATCTGGACCTGCTGCCCCCAGGCCCCCAGTGTGTGGGGCAGGGGGGACCCCCAAGCAGCCCCTCGCGGGCTGCAAGGGAAAAGCCACGGTTTCCCATGTTTTTCTTCTTGAAAGGAAAATCAATCCATTGTTTACAGTTTGTTCACTACCCTTCTGTATATTCTTACAACCCACTTTTGGATCGTGACCCACAGGTTGAGAAACGCTAGTATAGAGTGCACACGCTTGTGGGCTAAAGCTCACAGAGTCTGATGAAGTGAGCTTCAGCCCACAAAAATTTGTGCCGTGTGTGTTTCATATTTATATATAATCTCTCTCTCTCTGGTTAGTCTATAAGTTGCAGAAAGAATAGGAATGGAGTTGGTCTTGTGGTAAAGTTTTTGCTATGCTCCTATTATGATCCTTATTTTCAAAACTAGATCTTAAAATGTCATTGATTAGGTCAGCACCCCTTCTCTGGTTTGTTTCACTTTCTGGTTTTTGTGGCTCCTAACACTGCAAGGGAATGTTTCAGTCAAAAGACAATCATTTAACTGTTTTAAAAAACAATATAAATCTATTACTATGTAACATAGGTAACCTCTACCCTGGATAGGACATCAGATCATGTGCCTTGTGAAGCTGGGATCTTCTGTAAGGCAGCATAGGAAATGTGATAAAACTCCCTTATTTTCCAGGGAGAACTTGGAAAAGTTCTGCCACTGCCTTATAAAGACCTGAAGGCAAATTTGCTATGCCATTGTTTGCATGGGGAAAGGGAAAACAGAATTTCCGATCTCTAACTAAACCACTGGGGAGACCTCCAGAGATGGCTCTGTTTTGTAGATGCAGGTATATTAAAGTCAGATCTAGGAATTAATCATTTCCAGAATGAGCGGAAGAAGCTTGGTTTGACTTCTTACTTGCTTCCCTTTTTCTCTGTTACTTTTATTTATTAATTATGTGTGTTCATTATTTATATTTCAGTAGTGTGTAAAAAGGCCTGTTCGGATCCAGACCCTGTTGTGTCAGGCACCTTACAGATGAGTACAATAAAAACAGTCTTGGCCCTTGAGACTAACCCTTTCTCTGTAACCGTGATACTGTTTTTATTGCAGCTTCTGACACTTAAAAGGAGCTATTATACTGGGGGCAGGTAGAAGTTGAATACAAGTAAAGATACAATTGAGTCTAAGGAACCAAGGTTTAAAAGATTGCAGAAGGGAAATTCGAGTCTGTCCCCTTTTGCAGTTTAAGCCCACAGCATAAGCTTTGTTTTGTTTCTCGCATTTTTTTATGATACCAACTTCTCAGACTTTCATGTTTGTTCCTCCTACTTCCTCACCTTTGTCACCATTGGCATTTTCTTTTTACATTATTTCCCATCTCACATTAAGTGAGAGATGCATCAGTCCCTTTTGCATTAGTAGTTGGAATATATCTGCGTAAGTAGGTAGACTGGGCCTGTTGCTCTTCTTTTTCATCTGCTGGGATTCCTTTGCTAGAATATATTGTAGGTCTTCTCTCCACTGCCTGCCCATAAGATGGTACAGGAGTTACCTCCCCACAGGGATGCTTAGGGTGCTTCACTGGCTCCCCAGTCTTGGCATGAAACAAGCCGGTTGTCTTTCCCTATCATCCTATGTTTACTGTTGAGAGGTCAAGCCTGACCTGTAATCACAGCCTCCATTACCTTGGTGTGTGTGTTCTGAATTTCAGTGAGGTTGTTCTGTGCTTTATCCTGTGCCACTCCTGGTGCTAGGGAGAGGCTTTCCATAAATATCTACACATCTCCCTTATCTTTTCCTTCTCTAAACCTGAACTTAAGCTGTTTGTTGCTGTGATGTCTACAGAAAGGTTTGACAAGTTAGGCAGTTGGTGTGCTTTGACTGCTGTCTGTCACATTGATTAATACTGTTTCGTTGGGCATCCCCACCTGTCTGTATTTGTCTGCTGTCCTCATCTTGTATTTGTATTATAGAGGCTTTTAGGCAATGGCCATCTCTTTGTTTGTTTGGAAAGCATGTAGGACAGCTGGATCTTGGTTCCTGACTAGGCCTTTATTTGTTCTGGTAATAAACACAATAGATAACATTCCTCATAGCTGTTAAGGCTGTCTGTAGACTTGGGGGTTGCCTCCACTGCACTGTTAGCTCAAGGTATGAATCGAGTGTTACTGCTCTCCTGATTCCTATGGACATTCATAAATAAGTAACTCAAGGTAAATGGTGCCGTAAACTCAAGATAGCTGGCCCATCAAGGGACACAATTCAGGAAGCCTAAATACTGTTAATGCTAGAATTCATAAGGCAATGGGTCCTTGTCACTCTGCACTGCTGATACAGCAGGTGAGGACAATTATTTGGGGCGGAGGACCACTTACTGAGGTTTGGCAAGCTATTGAGGGCCACATGACAGGGAGCCAGGGGCAGATAAATATTAATTTTCTAAATTTTTTAGGATCCTTGCCAGCCGGATAGAATGGCCTGGCAGGACGGATGCGGCCAGCGGGCCGTATTTTGCCCACCCCTGTAATACAGTCGTTCTATGTAGCTCCACAGTGGTGTTTTATGGTGTCCATGCTAACTCAAGAGTTCTTAAATTGAGTGTAAATAACTGGAGCTAAATCATCACAAAGGATGTCTCTATCATTCATGCCTGGATCATGTTTTCTAGCTTTTGTTTTTCACAATCGTGAGACCTAAAAAAATACTTTTTAAAATGAAGGTGGTGGTTGTCACCAACCTCTACAAACTTCTCTCACCTGGGCATGGGCCTGTGCTATTTTATACCTTTCAGTTGGCTTAATTGGAAATTATCATATTCAGTTTTTCCATTTTATCTGTAAGTAAAGGTTTCACTAATTTTACTGTGGCAAAAAAGAAAAAATAAAGTGGTTACAAAGGGAACTGATAACCTTCTTACTTCCCATGACTCTGATGTAATTGGCTCAAAAGTCTGTGGTAACAAAACTGCTCCTTACACATCCTCAAAAGTGTTGTGCCCACAGGCTCCTATTAGTAAGTAAGCAGATTACCCAGTATAGCAATGCTTATTATGGTTGCTTACCCAAGTTACATCTTTTCATGCGATTGGGCCCCTGAAAGTGCTCTATGGTTGTTCTGTGATGCACATGTATGGCTGCAGAGTGTTTTTAAAATGGCTGTTTGCACGAAAAATTAACCCTCCCCAAATGAAGTATTAGATTAAGATGGCTTTAGAGCTCTTTAGGGAACTTGTGTTCCCTAGGGTTAATTTTTATGTGTTGTGGGCTGGGTTGATGCACCCTATGCCCGCCCCTGGGGCTTTCATGGGGGGGGGGAGGGTGTACCACTGAGCTGCCAGCTGGGGTTTGCTGCCTGGCTGGAGCTCAGGGTAGGGAAGAGAGAATGGAATCCCTCCCCTGCCTCGTGGGCCTGGCTTAGCTCCCCCCAGCCCCCCAGTACCCTAGCTGGGGTAACTAGGGGGACCATGAGGCAGGGGAGGGCTCCGTTTCACCCACCTCCCCCCTGTCCCAGCTTCAGCCAGGCAAGAAACCCCAGCTGGCAGCTCCCTGGGGGGGGGGGACAGAGCTGGGGAAAGGGTTGACTCAGCAGGCCCCTTGGAGGTTTCTGGACCACCCCTGCCTGCTGGCCAGGGCTGGTGCAAGCAGGCTCCAGTCCCTCCAGCCCTGACCCCACAGGCAAAAGTCTGTTGGTTTGGATGGGGGCTCTAACTCATAGCACTGTGTATAAAGCACAATGAGTTGACAGCATGGCCAAGGTATGTCTGTCAGCACCCTGTATGACATGCTAAACTAATTTTGTTCTAAGCCTTTTCAGTCCCAACCCAACCCCAGAGTAAAACGTGTCAAAAAACATGCATGCTGAGGGTGAAAAAAAGATGATGATGTTATTGGGACTACTAACAAAATTCCCCATTGTTATGCAATCAGTGTTGATTCTACCTCTTAATTCACCACTAGCCCCAACTAAAAGAAGCTGCTGTTATATAATTATGCCTGTAGAGATTTAAAGACAAAGAAAATAATCTGTTAATTATAGTGATACTTATTTACATTGCAATATGCTCATAATGGTTTAATTAGGGTCGTCAACAGAAAAAGTTCCATCTTAATCCATAACTCTCACAGAAATGAAGATAGGGAGAGAAAAAAGATGAAGGAAGTAATAGCCAGTGCATTGTGAACTCAAACCCTCATTTATTGTGCATAGCCAAGCTTTCAGCTGTAACTTTTGGCTGGGTACAGATGTCACACCTATTTTGCTTTAGATGAACAGAAGGTGCTGTAAAGCTGCAACAGAACAAAG